AGATCTAAAAATTTCTGTGTCTTGAATTTTATTACTTCTTACTAAAATTTATGAAAAACTCGTGTTAAACCGTTGTTGAGAAATATTAAGTCTGTTCTGTTTTAATGTTTTAATTTTTAAGAGTCTGGTTTTTTTCTCCATTTTCTTGACAATTTAATTCTGAGGTGGATCGTTTGAATACTGCAGATTTAGGCTAGAAAAGGGCAAAGGCTGTATTTTTTCAGTGACAATTTATTAGAAGATTGACTTTTAGCGTGCAATTTTGCTAAGTAAATGCATGGATGGAAGAGAAGGAATGGCATTACCGGGCTCCTCTCCATATTACCTCAATAGAGGTGGAATAGGGGTCTCTGGTGGTTCGGCACCTGGTTCTAATGCTGCCGGTGGAGTGTCCAGTACTTTACCGGCTGGCGTTGCTATGCACTCCTCACCGGGCTTCAATCCTGTTTCGAATCCCAACATTCAATTGCAACCCAATGTAGGTGCTAGTGGTGCCATAAGTGGTTCAACATTCAATCTTGAGAACAAGTCTCCCAATTTCCCCCGTAGCATTACCAAGGGTGATTTCTCTAGCACGTCGACTAGTGGTGATTCAGTGAAGAAGAAGAGGGGTAGGCCTAGGAAATATGGTCCTGATGGGGCTAACATGACATTAGCATTGTCCTCAATGCCCGTGGCCACACCTTCCACAGGAGGGATCACTCCGAGTGAGAAAAAAAGAGGGCGGCCACCGGGGACTGGATGGAAGCAGCAGCTGGCTCCTCTTGGTAAGTTTTTTTTGTTCTTCTTCACATAATTGGAGTTAATTACACTGTTTCATTTTGTATTATATGTTTTAGATTGAGGTTATACAATATCTTTTGTTTTAAACCAATCACTCTTAATATGGTATTTTGTTTGCAAGGTAAGAGCATTTCTTCTAACAAACAACAACGAAATACGCAATTAGTACATGTTTTTTGGTTAGCTTAGAAAATTTACTTATTGGTGAGTAAACAAGTTTTTAGAATATATAATTCTTTGTTGATCAATATTGGAATTAAGCAATTAGTTGACTTTTGCCAATATATGAATACTTTGTAAAAATTGATTTTAAGATTAGATAAACTTGCTCTAAGTAACAACTAAGAAAAGAAGATAATGCATTTGATAAGTTCAATTTCTAAGCTGTATCTCCAAATCCCTCAAGCAGTCAAGCGCACTTGAAGTCCTTGGGTAATAAGGATGATGCTAGTTTTAGTTTATTTATTAAGCTTTCCAATTTGTGGTTGATTGCTGGTTCTTTTTCTTTTTCTTTTTGAATGTGCACCAAAATGAATGGTTTTTTTCTGAAGCCACTTGCACATACTGCAGTAGTCTAACTGGCTTTTNCTTTTTCTTTTTGAATGTGCACCAAAATGAATGGTTTTTTTCTGAAGCCACTTGCACATACTGCAGTAGTCTAACTGGCTTTTTATTATTGTAATGTTTATTGTAAACTTGCATGTTTTGATTATGAAACTTGAACCCAAGGGTATTCTCTCTTCTAGGTTATTTGAAATGTATGCTGCCCCCTATTGTGAAAAAACCAAAAGGAACAGGTAAAATAGAAAGGGAAAGAATCTAGGAAATGCTACTTGTTCACAGGCCATGGATGCTAGAACGAATGGTTTTTCTATTTCAGTCACTGTTATATTTTTATATGGATATATTTATTTTACATTTTTTTCTGGGTGGGAGAAAATCACGTGTAAAAGATTTACCTTCTTTGATCAGGTGAATGGATGAACAGCTCAGCTGGACTGGCTTTCACGCCGCATGTCTTGCACATTGGAGTTGGAGAGGTATGTTTCAAATTCTTTTTCCGTCTCTTCTTTTTCATATCACTTACTTAGGTCTAATGTGTCGTACATATGCTTTTGATGGTTAAATTATTTTGTTAAACTTATGCTCCTATTTGACAATTTTTTATTTTTATATTTTGGAAAAATGAGTTTTTGAATAGTAAATTTTTGGAGAATGTGTGGTTAAAAAGTAGGAAAGTTTTGGATTTACTTGAAGAATATTTTATTGTGAGAATGTGTGGTTGAGAATGAGTATGAGAAAAAAGAGTTTGAAAAGAATGGTTGTCAAGCAGTGGCTATATTTATTATGCTCGATGACAAAGTTTCTGATTTTTCCCCTTATCATGTGCAGTGTGCCTAATTGGACTGTTATTTTTGCATTACATGAAAAAATGAACATCTATACTTGTGCAATTAGTGAGCCACGGATTGCCTTTTAGTTCAATATTGTAATAATTCACTAATAAATTGTTTGCATCCCCATGGTAAAAGAAGTGATTGTATTAATGAATTTCTCCTGTAGGATGTTGCAGCCAAAATATTGGCATTCGCACAACAAAGGCCGAGGGCTTTATGCATCTTGTCGGCTAATGGGTCTGTTTCTTCCTTGAAACTGCGACAACCTACCACCTCTAGTGGCACTGTTACATATGAGGTTAAGATTCTTTTGATGCCCTCTCGCTCTTAAATTCAGTAAAAAAAAAATAAAAAAATAAAAAAAAATTTTGTCCCTATTTGGTTCTCATTATTTTCTCATTAAAATGAAAAATATGATCGTTATTCATCACATCAAGCCACCAAATTTGAATTTCTATATCTTGTGTGGGGTCCATAACGGATATATTTTTCATTCTCATTCTTCCAAAAATGAGAAACAAACGGTGGCTTTATTTTTGAAAAGTAAAATGTTTCTTGCCTTGAACTCTAGGTGATAAGGATTACAAGTTTATATTCACATGATTAGTTTTATGATATCATTTAAATGTATTGTGAAAGAATTTCCCAACGAGCAAATTCAGTAGTCAGTAGACATCAGAAAAATCCTTTCACAAGAAAATGTATTCGTTTTTTAACTCGAATTCTGTCGCAACCTATTCTTGCTGATGAAAATTAAGGTGATAAACTTTAGGTTTAATCGCATAAATGACGGTTTTTTATTGACATCTCATTACCATCTAATACTTTTTGTTCATTCATTGTAAGAATTTTTTTATAATTTCGGATCTGATTTTTTCTACTGCCACTCTGCATTTCTTCATTCAGGTATCCTCAATCATATTCAAGCTCTGAATTTAATATCTTTGAAGTCTTCTCAGATTTATCCCTTGCTATTTACTATTCTTCAAAATAGCATTATCATTATTATATGCTGAATTTTTATTAATATATATATATTTTTTTGGGCTATGATGATGTCCTTCTCTATTCAAGGATATTTTCTTTTTACCTCGTGTGTCTTACTACCTTTTTTCAGGGCTGTTTTGAGATATTATGCTTGTCGGGTTCTTATTTGCTTGCTGAAAGTGGTGGTCCTCGCAACCGGACTGGTGGTATAAGTATTTCAGTTTGTAGCCCCGATGGACATATCATCGGTGGTGCTATTGGTGGTAACCTCATTGCCGCAAGTTCAGTGCAGGTATGCATGTGATCACTTGTCAATTTGAGATCCATTAAGCTTTAAAAGTTAACTTATAAGTAAATTTTAACATAAATAACTTCTCTAATCAAATTAAATTGGAAATAAGTTACTTATTTTGACGACAAGGAAAAAGCAAAACTAACCTTTTAATCAGTTAAAGTTAGAAATAATTTACTCATTTTGACAGTAATGCAAAAAAGCAACTTTTTGCTGCATTTCTTAAGCTTTAGCCAAAAAAGCTCTTATTTCCTATCCTCTCATTACTTAAATGTTATGTAGTCGAATTATTTTGACACGGTGCATTATCAATGTTAATATAGGTGGTTGCATGTAGCTTCGTATATGGTGGTTCAAAGGCAAAGAACAAAACAGAGTCCGGACCTAAAGATGAAAAGAATCCTGCAGATGATCCTGCTGAGAAGTCATTAACCCGAGTTAGTGCTGCCCCGAGTCAAAATCTCACTCCAATTTCTGCGACTGGTGTTTGGTCACAAGATTCACGTCTTGATATGAAAAATTCTCAGACGCAGATTGACTTAATGCTCGGGTGATACAAGCTACAACACATACATGGTAGTTTTTGTATATTGTTGTATATTTGCATTTGGGAAATTAGCAAACGCAAATATTCAGTCTGTCCTTTCGGTAGATTGTGGGTCATGCTAACATATCGTGTAATAGAGTTTGAGTACTAGGTTCCTAGGTAGCAATGGTAGGGTTGTTGGAACTGATAGGAACTATTAATATTTCTAGCAGGTTAGGTGTGTTATGATTTCTTTAATTGGGTCTCCACAATTTTAACCTGAATCTTTAATTTGTAGTACTATTTGGTGATGCGTTATTAACTTGGAATTGGCACGAAAAGGAGTAGCTATGCAAGTCGTCTGGTGGTTACCTGTCTCTGTGTACTAAAGACCATGTTTGGGCGAGGTTATGCCAAAAATTAAATACCCATCCTATTGCTGAAAGATACGCTCATCTTTTAGCCATATGATGGGTAATATATATGCATAATCCCCACCCAGACATGCTCTTAATCTAGATTTACAGGGATAAAGCAAAAAATAAAGGCTACTTTTCACCTCCAACGGCAAGTACTTTTATGTACCATACAAATAGAACAACACTTTTCATATAGGGTTGTGTTACATGTACACAATGGTTTACACCTCTCTGAATTGGCAGATTTTGGTATATTGATCTTTACTACATTTTTGACACATAGGTGTACATATTTGGGTTTACAAGTAGCCTTGCCCATTTATAAAACCCAAGCTGTTACATAGATAACACTCTTAACGAAACACAGAATGGAAGTTTTGAACACGATAACATGGAAAACATGATGATTGTAATACTTATTGATGTAGAAATCCTCATCAGGATGTTTATTACTATTAACCGAAAGGCACAATAAGATGACTCTAATGCTCAAGCCTTTTCAAGCAGCTTCTTTATATCCTTCTGCAAAGAAATGCAAGGGAACAAGTTTTGAGCTCTAAAGCAACCTTCTTCGTCAAATTATAAAATCGAGATTACCATATAGAAGGATGATATTTACCTCGATGCTAAGGGGAGATGTGGTGGGAGCATAACGATCAACAACACACCCCTCTTTGTCGACAAGAAATTTGGAGAAGTTCCATTTGACACTGTCACCCAAGAAACCACCTTTGCTCGACTTCAGGAACTTGTACAGTGGAGCAGCATTGGAACCATTTACATCGACCTGAATTAAGAAAATAAGATCACGAATTAAACCTTGTCAACAAATTCATGCGCATAGGCAACAGAGGAACCTAGTTTAATCACACATCAAGAGCACGTTTGGTATGAGTACTGAACTAGACAGTGCAATAGACATTAACTTATTTTTCTTTCTTAATACTGTCTAATGCTAATGCTGTCCACAAACCATCTTACCAAACATGCCATGGAGGTAAGCAACATGAGAAAACAAGTCTCTTAAATTTGACAGAAGCAGCTATATTCGTCATAGATTACAAGAAAAAACTTTTCCTTAATGCCATTAAGAGATGATATTGAGGTAGATATTTTGTACGAAAAAATAGTTCATTCACGAAAATCCAGAAATAAGCTTTTCAATGATTCCTACCTTGTCAAATATGGGATACTCAGCCTTAAATCGGGTGCAAGCAAATTGTTGAATTTCTTCATTAGTGCCAGGTTCTTGTGAGCCAAACTGATTGCATGGAAATGCCAGAATCTCAAAACCTGTGTAATAGAAAAATCATTATTCAGACACTCTAAAAAAGGGAGAGCTTTCTACCGTTTTGTTCCATCACCGATTAGTCTAAGTTTAACAAATGAAATTGTCTCGGAATGAAGATTTTCAATTTACACATTTGCTGTTTAAACCTTAAAACATGGAAAAATAGAGAAGTCGGAATGGAGATTTTACAGATGACTTGCCAAAAATATGCACTTATTCAAATCGTAAATGTATACAATAGATTTGTAATATTCAGAAATTCAACTCTACATTTTCCTCCCAATCCATCATTTCTTATTTTATCTTTACCGCACGCTTTCTATTTCCCATTCCACATCACTCCAGTTGCATGAAAACGAAATTTCAGCCCAGGGACAAGATAAGTAAAGTTATTTACTCGTGACGCGTTAGTGCAATATCAATTATCAAAACCAAGAAATGCAAACCAAATCAAACCTTGATCCTTGTACTTCTCATAAAGCTTTGTTAGATCCGTGTAATTTGAATTGGTAAGGCCACTGCAGCATACAAGAAATATGAGAATTTTCTTTAGAAAAGGAGAGCAAATATACAACTAGGTCAGTGCATAAATATTCAGGAAATTCAATATTAAACAGAATAAAAACTGAAGACTTGGTAACTGGCTTGCAAGGATATTGACAATGTTCTTTGACCGTATGAATCATTGGGGGGGTGGGGGTGGGGGTGGGGTGTGAACATATAAATCTATCACGGTTCAAGATCAATTACTATGAGAAGATTCTAATGACAGAGAATACAGAATTAACAGATCGTAATATATTTGTAAAAAGCTTCCAAATCGCATCACTCAATTGAAGATAGAAAGTTCATGAAAAGTGAAAAGCACCTTATTTTCTGTCACCTATCAAGTTCTCGACTTTTTGTCTTTCAAATGGAAAACAAAATGTCACTGAATTTATAGCATTGAAATGGCACAAGCAAAATTCTAAACATAAGAACATTATGTGCAATATACTACCATATCAAGCACACGCCAAAAGTTAGAATGCAAAATGAATTTTTTTGTACAAAGATTTCATCCTAGGAGTATTTCATATAAAATTTATATGACAATATAAATCGAGCATAAAACCAGACTTTTCTTTAAAGGACTCGGTGAAGCTACAACATACCACTGTGATGCAACATTGACAATCAACAGGACTTTTCCCTTGTAAATGCTTAAATCGACGTCATTCCCCTTAGCATCCTGCAACCACATAATTTTAGAATATAGCAGTTTCATCAAGGTATGATAAGATGGCAATGTAAAATTCTATTCACATTCGAAATGTAAGAATAGGACTGACATGAAAAGTAAAAAATTGTATCATATACAGGAGCGGACGCATACTCTTTGATTTAGGGGGCTCAATCAAATATTATATAAATCGAATAATTTGTTCTTGATTTTTGAATAATTCAAACTTAACTTGAGAAAACGCATAATTAAGTTTAAAAACACATTCCTTCATTAATATTTTGTTCGTTATTTTCATCAATTTAATTTCGAACAATCCTTTTATTAATATTTTATTCATCACAAAAAAATGCATATTTACGTTTAAAGAATTTATAGTGTATTTGATACAAACAATTAATTAAAGTAATAAAATGAAAAAAATTATAACCAATATTCACTACTAATATTCAATCAAATAAACACAATTTATTAAATATAAGTCAAATTAGATATAATCATTTAAGACTCATTCTATATACACAATTTGATAGGAGAAATGTAAATTTAGGCTCAAAGTATTATTAGGAAGTTAAGTAAATGTTAAAATTTGTAGAGAAACCATAGACAAATTTTAAAAAATTAGAAGAGTTGTGTGAGAAAAAATGAAAAGGTTTAAATCTATTGTGATTTTGTCCTCGTTTAATTGAGATTAAAATCAAATCTCTAGTAAATTTTGATAAAATTTTAATATTTATGAATCCCATGAAACATGTTATTCAAATTAATTGTTAATTTTGATTTATATTAAAATTTTAATTTTAATTCATATCAATCGGGCTTTTATTGAGAAAAAAGAAAAACAAAAAAAAAGTTGTGACCCCCAAAAAACCCCCTTGTGTCCGCCCCAAAAGGTTTAAATCATTTTTTTTTTCATTAAAAAAAAATAAAAATGGTCAAGTATCCGCCCCAAAAGGTTTAAATCATTTTTTTTTTCATTAAAAAAAAAAAAAGAAAAAAAGAAAAAAAAGAAAATGCTCAAGTAGTCTCGTTAAATTTTTTTCCCCTTCAACTAACGATAAATATTTGCTTGCTCTTTTCATTTAATTCACACCCCTAAGGTAAAATTTCGCATTCTCTTACAACTTTCACCTAACATGACCTATTCAAAAACCCGTAATTGTCATGTTCAACGGGAGGATTGGACAAGGCCAGCCAATACTAAAGACTTAAAAATCTTCTATATTCTCCAATACTGCACATCAAACATGCCGATTAATTTTACCGACGGCTAAACCGAGATCACACAACACTATAAAAGAGAAGCTCATAGCAAAAAATTACGGTTTATATAAAAAACATTAAGAAATGAATGACAAAACCATTTGTTGGATATTGGTTAAATAAATCGAGAATTGAAAATCGATTAAAGTGACTTCGTATCGACTTCGACCAAATACTCAAAAGCTCGACTCAATCCGTTTAAGCAAAATTGTTTGCTACTTCGTCGCTTCGGAGCGCACAAACGGGGATCGACCTGAAAAGAAGATGATCCTAGGACATTTGATGAAGCAATGTCCTGTCCCGAAACTCCTTTTTGAAAAGAAGCTGTACACAATGAAATTGAATCCATCATGAGTAACCATACTTGGGAATTGGTTGAACTCCCTCCGGGAAACAAAGCTTTAGGCTGTAAATGGATCTTCAAAAAGAAATTGAAGTTGGATGGATCAATTGATAAATACAAGGCTAGATTAGTAGCCAAAGGGTATAGACAAAAAGAAGGACTAGATTTCTTTGATACCTATTCACCCGTTACAAGAATTACGTCTATACGTGTCTTGATTGCAATCGCAGCATTGCATAATCTTGAAATACATCAAATGGATGTCAAAACCGCGTTTCTAAATGGTGAATTAGAAGAAGAAATCTACATGGAACAACCTGAAGGGTTTGTTGCACCAGGAAATGAAAAGAAGGTGTGTAGACTTGTAAAATCATTGTATGGATTGAAACAAGCACCGAAGCAATGGCATGAAAAGTTTGATAAAACTATGTTGTCAAATGGCTTCAAAATCAATGAATGTGACAAATGTGTCTACATTAAAACCGCACTTAATGAATATGTAATCATATGCCTATATGTTGACGATATGCTAATTATGGGAAATAACTCCAAAGTCATTTCCTCGACTAAGAAAATGTTAACAAAACATTTTGACATGAAGGATATGGGAGTGGCGGATGTAATATTAGGGATTAAAATCTCTAAGACATCCGATGGTTTGTCATTGTCTCAATCACATTATGTTGAGACTATACTTAAGAAATTTAAGGCGTATGACGATAAACCGGTTAAGTCACCAGTTGACTTAGGTATTTACTTAGCCAAGAATACTGGTGAGCCCATATCTCAATTGGAATATTCGCGTGTCATTGGTAGTTTAATGTATATTACCAACTGCACAAGACCGGATATAGCATACATAGTCAACAAGTTGAGTAGATTCACTAGTAATCCAAGTGTTGTACATTGGAAGGCATTAAACTGAGTTCTTAGATATTTAAGACACACGGTTGAATATGGATTACACTACTCAAAATATCCTGCGGTATTAGAAGGATATACTGATGTAAATTGGATATCTGACACTAAGGATTCAAAATCCACGAGTGGTTATGTATTTACCATTGGAGGTGGAGCCGTGTCCTGGAAATCGTCTAAGCAAGCATGTATTGCTCGATCCACGATGGAGTCTGAGTTTATTGCGTTAGACAAAGCCGGTGAAGAAGCAGAATGGCTTCGTAATTTTCTTGAAGAAATTCCATGTTGGGAAAAGCCGATTTCTGCGATTAATATACATTGCGATAATCAGTCAGCAATAGCAAGGGCACAAAACAGTATGTATAATGGTAAGTCTCGACATATCCGTCG